AGTTTGAAATGTTGCGGGGGTTTCCCCAATTCCGGCTGATCCTGTATTTATTAGTTGCTACATTGTATTACTTGATCCCTGACCTATTGTATTACATACATTTATGAGATCCTCCTTCAACAGATATAGATAGAATACCTACACAACACGTTTGATGATTACATATATTTATGTCTTGAACAATTTTTTTTATATAATGATTATACAGCTATACATTTAATATGATAAACAAGACCAACCAGGAATGAACTTATCAATAGTGTAGTGCAAAGGATTGCTAAAATGCGAAATCGGCGCTCGTAGTATGAATAATGCATATTGACTTGCTATTACGAATAAAAAAAAAAGAATGATAAAGTTAACAAATATTGCAATTTGTAAAACCTTATCAATATTGATTAGTGTCAGCAAAATAAGCCTTCTATTTATAGTGGTTAGGGTGTCAAGTTTATCCGTATAATTGGGTACGATAGGTTTTAACCTAAAAAATGGTTAGAAAATTCAATAAATGGTAAGGGGCGGAAAAGTTTTAATTGATTCTTAATATGACCTTGGTTTTTTATGACAAGATAAAATGGTTATTTTTTTTTCAAAACGTGAATGTATGTATTTCCAGAGAACAACAAATTAATTTCTTTAGACGAGAAAACTTTGTAACATTTTAAAATAACCTTCGTTTAACATTAAAAAACAATTTCAATATGCTTATCATAGCTTCCTATATTGTTTCATTAATGATTCAACCATGCCATATTTTATACTTATTCAGATGAGAATTAATGTATTTTTTATGAGATACAATGTTCTTGTATGTGTGAGTTCCATTCGTATGCCATAATTTGTATTACAAAAAGTGATGTATCATTTTATACTTATTTTATGCTAGAGTATTTGTGGAAATATTCTTGAATAATATAAAAAGACAATCTAAAATTATTATAATTTTGAAAAGATAGATTTTAACTAATGTATATGTAAAGGACATCAATGAAATGCAGTCTAAATATGACAAAAATAAAAACACTTAGAAGTAAGTTCTTTTTTTTTTAAAGAAGTCACAATGTGTCAATATACAAATATTTCAGTTTTTTATTTACTGTTTGTATATTTATTCATTGGAAAGGACCTATATATTTGTGATGTAAATGGCGTTTTTTCGGTTGGAAACTGCAGCAGATATGACGTTGAACACATAAGAACATATATTGTTTATGTCATTTAACAAAAAAAATCTAGTATGGTATCTAACCGTTACAAGGATGCTCTTCTCATTAGAATAACAACTGTACTGGAAAACAAATGTTAGTCAAGGTAAACGGTCGATAGAATAGTTTAAACATAGACACTGCTTTATAATTGAAAAAAAAAATGAAAACTATGTTTTTCTGTTTTGTTTTTCTGTTATCTTGTTTTGCAAAAGTGCTTAAAGTTTATACAAACAAAGGATACGTATTTATTTTCGGCCATAAGATAAAAAAAAATCAGCGATTTTGTTTAAAGTGTAATTTATCAGTAGCTTTATACATGTAGAAACGAGTGGAAATGTTCTAAATTAACGACTGAAAAATCTGATGTCGCATCTCAAACAAACAAATATCGGTAGTCTTTGATCAATTTAAAGCGTTTCAAAACCAATTGTTGGCTTTAAGGATGTTTAACATGTATCGGCATGATACATTTTCATTAATATCATAACATACAATCACTATCTTGATAATGATTACAATTCTGTGATCTTATCGCTAGATGAAATCACTGTTTTTCGTCCGGGTGCGCATCATTATTTCACTTTGGCTACACCTTCGTGATATAACCCCCCGCATCCGAACTACAAACAGTGATTTTATTGAGCAGACTTATAAAAGAACATAGTTTATCCTTTATCGCAGTTTAGCTTTAATTAACATGATAAATTGACACGTTTGTCATCCGAGATTTAAAAATGGGTCCTTGTTGAAGGGTATGACCTGCTAGATTATATTTAAAATGAAGGAGATAACCGACTTTTTTGCATACCATTCCTTACAAGGACGTTATCAGAATGAAATGACAAAAATATCCGTTTGTATTCACAATTGGATTTTTTATAGATTTTAAAATATTAGGGCCTTTTGATTGAAACTATTTCAAAACTCCATATTTGAGATAGTCAACAAGACATCCAAAATAGCCTCCAACAGAGTGATCCATTAAATGAGACATAAATGCCAGATAACTATATTTATTTATGTGAATAACACTCACCAAAAATGTTTATAGATACATTTTTTTTTGTAATTTACGTTACCTTTAAAACTCAATTTTATATATTAATAAGAAAAGGATATCATCGTTTCATTTACACAGTATGTTGTTATCATTTGAAAGAATAAGACAAAAATAATAAACAGTTTAAAAACAAATGAGTTTATATGAAGTTAACATTATAATTTTTGTAAGGTAATATTTAATATGGGATATTTATGCTTCTATAAGTGTTTTTGCTGTACAATGTATTGTTAATAAAACACCATACACACAATGTGATACGGATACAAGAATCGACGACAAAAAGATAAAATGATGTTGTATCAGTAATATAACCAATTATGTGACTAGAATGCAACATCACAAAAGTAAGTTAAAATTGTCTTTACAGGAATTGTCCATATTTAAACAATTATTCCAATTTCACAATATGTCCACGTCCACTTTCAACCGAATACAACAGTGTCTGCTGATTGATAAACATGTAATTGCATTCAGGGGCATAAACATCGTTAACGACAGACAATGATTGTTATATCGTTATATTAGCAAACCGCATGGCCTGATTTTCGAAAGAAAATTTGGTCATCTTGAGAGCAGAAAGCATAGCTTTTGTAGAACTTAATTATAAAATTATTATAGATCTGTTTTCATAATCAAATTGTGTACATATTTATTCCTTTAACATTTCAATCACCATAGTGATATCGCGAGGAACAAAGTTGAAACAACTATCTAACAACCTTGTAACATCTATTTCCTATTAATAATTACAATTTCCGACCATTTTAGGACCTGCTTCATCTATAACATTTGGTTTATACATACTTTCTTTAAGTTCGATTGTGTAGAAAGCAATAAGCTTTAAGGCACGCTTTCAAATCTGTTCTCAGTATTCACTCTTATTAAACACTGTGTGATAACTTTTGAGATACGATGCCTGCTTTACAAAAGATCCTTAGACGTCTTGTCTGTGAAATATATGTTTCAAAATTTTGTTTCTGATCCCGTCTTACTATGTTTGCCCATTGCAATCTCGTTAATGGCCCACGAATAATTTTTGAGGGGGGGATTTTGTCGTGTCATGGATTCACCTACAATAGAAAGCGTACACAGTGGCTTGCACTAACAATTCAATTCAATTCTTAACATTACATGATCGTCGCCTTTATCATGATGACTAACAACTACCGTCCCTGATTAAACTCATCCGAACCGGGCCTTGAACATTATCTATTCTGCCGTTTTAGACAGTCTTTTCTCTGTTATAACTACCTTGTTATGTATGGTATTTTGTCCTTAAAATGGTCTACAATAAAACGAAAAATGTAAGAAATTATGAAAATAACATTAGGCGTGTAATGTGTATCATGTTACGACGGAAGAATATGATGAATTAACATGAGAACTAGAAGTATCTTTAAAAAAGATACTCGGCCGAGTTAAACTCGTTAACTTGCATAGTTCTTAGTTTTCCATGCAAAGTCATTTAGAAATATTAGCATACAATGTAGCTTACATAACAATGACATTAAATTTCTTGTAGGATTATGAATCTCGAAAACTCAAACACTTTAAGATGTTTGATTTTATAAACAAACCTTTCGTATTTCGGTAAGTGAACTCAGTTTCTAATATCTGAGCAAATTATCTGGAAAAGTGAGAAACTATCCTGTATATTTTATTTTAGAACTATCCTATACAGTTTATTTTAGAATGGCCAATTGGATCCCCAGATTTATTTTTGTAATTTTAAAATGAACAATGAAAACTCTTTTTATATTCACTTTTACCTGTAAAGTTGCAGGCAGTCAAACTGAAAAGAGACCTGCAATCGACCGGAAAACTATGGGGAAAAAACGATTTATTGATAAAGGTATTGTATAAGAAAAGTATGATTACAGATATTATAACAAATTGACATAACAAAAAGATATAATATTATATTACATATTATACGAGACGATTCACCGTTGTAACAATAAACATGATAACACGCATTTTATAGAATTTATCTAATGATCGATGTAAAAAAGATAGTCTATGCTCATCTTTGAGTAACATACTTTTATTGCAGAGATTAATTGAAATTTATAAAATTCTAACTGAATATGTCTTACTTAAATAAAAGAATGTACAAAATTTGAATGGGATTCTGCGTTCCTTAATGCAGGTCAAGTTTTGGTAGTCCTATCTGACAATGTATATTTATAGTGTGTCCACTTACAGTTTGTAGGATTTTAGCAAAAATATATATTTTTGTTAAGTTAAAACATGTTTATTTCATACTTACAAAACGGCTATGTAGCAATAATCTATATTTTCAAATAACAAATTTGATTTTATTTTACCTTTGAACAAAAGCTCACAAATTTTGGAGTTTGCACGCAAGAATAGTTCGTTATACCTTAAACGGCTGCGTGAACGTACAGAAAACTGACTTTATGCATGTTTAAAGTCATCATTGCCGTGATTAGTTTAACATATGTAATATAAAATGATATATAAATAAAAACGCATATGCCATAAACACGCAACTTGTAAATCTATAAAATCATAAAAAAATAAACACGAGTTAAACAAGTTTACACTGTGAGCTATATGCTGTGAGAGATATTAAATTTATATATTAATAACCGTGCTTGCTATTGGTGGACATTAAAAGCGTAATACAGATAAGGACATGGTGAAAAAATATACTTTAAATCGTGTCTATGGTTAAAACGATCATTTTTCGATCCGGGAGACAGTGTCATTAAACAAGGGTTTTTATAATACTGCTTTATAAATAAGTCGTAAAGATGTACAACTATTAAGCGATAAGGACTATTTCAAATTTATGATAAAACTTAGATCAAAGAGGAGGTGGTGAAATGTGTTATTTGTTACATCAGTTTAAAATCCTACATAATGACATTTTAACAGACAAGAGAGAGTGAGAAAACAGGTAAAATTATAGTATTTTATTGCTTTTATACAATAATCATTGTATATTGTTTTTGCCTTCGCACTATGTCTGTCCATCTGCATTAAGCTTTCACTGATCAAACTGTTTTGGAACTCTTATCAATATCGATAATAGGTTCCAGGATTATAAAAAGAAGAAAAAATTGTCCTTTTTTCACAGGCAAACTGCCGGTGGGATTCTAATAAAACTTCACAGGAGTGATCAAAACCATACATAGTTGTGTATATCGGAGGCATGATCCACATTTATTTTATGCACAAAAATGGCCGATACAGCTATCAATAGAAAAAGCCTGTCCGGCTTTCACAGGCCACCCCCCTGGGGGATTTCAACCAAACTTCAAAGGATCGACCAGTCCAACCCCTACTTGTGCACAAAATAAAATAGCCACCAGAACTCAATATAGACACATCAGGTCAAACTGCTGATGGAATTTCAATGAAACAAGACAGGAGAGAACAGTACCATTCTAAGTTGTGTATATCGCCTGCACGTTCTGTTTTGCTGCATAAATTGGCCGCTAGAGATGAAAAAAGAAAGATCTTGTCAGGCTTTCACATGTCAAACTAAACAAATTTCAATGGAGTATTTTATAAGTAATCAGTACCCTACATGTTTGGCATATCACGGGCTCGTTCTGCTTCGTTGCACAAAAAGACCTCCAGAGTTATGAGACGAAAATCTTCTCCAGCTTTCATAAGTCGAACCGCTGACGGGATTTCGACATTACTTCACAGAAGTGATTAGTACTCTACGTAGTCGTGCATATCTTAGAAACATTCTACTTCGTTGCACAATATAGCTGCAAGAGCTATAAATGTTTTTAAAAAAAACTTCGTCCAGCTTTTGCAGGTCAAACTCCTCGCAGGATTTCGACGAAACTTCACAGGTGTGATCAATATCATAGTTTGATGTTCATATCAAGTGCACGTTCTGCTTCGCTGCACCAAAATGACCGCCAGAGTTATAAAAAGGAAAATCTTGTCCAGCTTTCCGTGGCCGAGTGGTTAAGGTCGCTGACTTGATATCACAGGTCCTTTACCGCTGTAGGTTTGATCCTCACTCGGGTCGAAATCTTTCATGTGAGGAAGCCATCCAGCTGGCTCAGTGGTTCTACCCAGGTACCCGCTAGTGCTTGACATAATGCCCGGAGGGGCACCTTGGGTCTTCCTCTACAAATAAAAGCTGGAAAAAAATCGACGAAAAAATCTCGGCGGGACGCTTTAAGATGGCCCGACTTGAGTGTATGGTCGCCCATATGGACTTTCTGGTGGCGACCTTAAATAAACGCATTTAAAAAAAAGCTTTCACAGGTCAAAACTTTGGCGGGATTTCGATATTACTTCACAGAAGTTATCAATACCATCCGTAGTTCCTTATCGCCCATACGTTCTGCTTGATTGCAGAGCTAAACAAATCTTGTCCGGCTTTCACAAGCCAGACTGCTGGTTGAATTTCAATGAAATTGTCAGGAGTTATCAATACCATCCCTAGTTGTGCATATGACCAGCACGTTCCTCTCCGCCGCACAAAATGACCACCAGAGCTAAAATAAAGAAACAAATATTGTCCGTCTTTCACAGGTCAAACTGCTGGCGGATTCCAAAGAAACATTCCAGGAGTGATCAGTAACATCCTTAGTTGTGAATATTGCCGACATTTTCCGCTTTGCTACACAAAATGGCAGTCAGAGCTATAAATGAATAAAATAGTGTCCGGCTTTAAAGGTCAAACTGCTTGCGGGATTTTTTCCCAAAATTCACAGGAGTGATCAGTTCCATGCCTTGTTTTTTGAACATATGTTTTTATGTATCTACCCCCTATATTTATTGATTGTTATCCGAAAACTGAATTTTCATTTGAAAACGTTTACAATTTTTATTCATGCACAAATTCTTAATTATCACTGACGCACGATATGTTGTAAAACCGTTCAATATTTTTAATATATTTAACATATAAACAATTAATATATTATAATTATAATAACAAGTACATGTGTATAAGGTCATTATAAATGTGATAAGGAAATATCCAATTTAATCCAGTTGACATATTGAATACATTAAATGAAGTTTCTTATATTTATCACGATCTCTTCTTTGGCATGTAAATTTTATTTCATGTAAATAGACCGTAGTTTATTGAATAAGAGAACACAACAGAACACTTTTTTCACTTGTTTCACCTGTATAACATATACATCGTGAACATAAATAACATATTTACAGCAAACAATTGTAGCCACACACTTTTTATTAAAAAAAACAAATATTATATTCAGCAATGAGTCATTAAGAGAAATATTTTGATTAAATATCTTGACTCATTCATTTCTACGATTTAAAGCTATCTTACTGAATTTACACCACATTTTAACAAGTGTATCTTTTCCTTGCAATTTAACAATTCAATAAGTTAATGTTTGGCTTTATATGATAGTTTCGATCAATATATACCCGTCGGATATCTACGGAGCCCCAAAGATGACATTTTCACATTTTTTTCTCTAAGACTTAATTCGTTTTTACGAAATATTAATTCATTTTTACGAAATAACAATTCGTTATTACGAAATATTAATTCGCTTTAACGAAATATTTTTTAGTAATTACGAAATATAAATTCATAAAAACGAAATATTAGTTCGTAAAAACGAAATATGTTTCGTAATTACGAAATATTAATTCGTAAAAACGAAATATTAATCTGTATTTACGAAATCTTAATTCGTTTTCACGAAATATTATTTCGTAATTACGAAATATTAATTCGTAAAATAGAAATATTTTTATATTATTTCGTAATTACGAAAAAATATTTCGTAAAATCGAATTAATATTTCGTAATAACGAATTAATATTTCGTTTTACGAAATAAATCTTGTGATGAAACGGAATCACAATATGCACAATAGCCTTTATTTTTAGCTCAATAACTTGATACCTAAGACATTTACTATCTTTATTTTTAGAGTTTTTATGATCGCATGGCGCCAATACATCAATTTGAAGGAAATATATTTTAAGTGAAAGTCTGGAAGCCGGCCCCTTTTTGTTTTACTAATATGTTTGATAAAAGAAAGTAATACTATTGTCGTTAGTTTTTTAAAAGAAACATGTCAGAAAAGATTAATTGTCCCGGAAACTAGAACCTGCCAGCTATTGGGAATACGTTTTTGAAAAAGGGGGAAAAGATAATGTTTTTAATTGAAAATGATTTCTCATTTAAAAAACCTGTTCACTCAAATAAAATTACTTGACAGCCATTAAGCATATAATCGTTATATTTGGTAATGTTGATCCAGGCTTGTAAATGACTCCTTTTGATTGTGACGTTTCAAGGTTCTATGTCACGCTCGAAATGACCTTCACTTCAGACACTTTGTCAGGCTTCTTGCTAAAGTATATGATTTTGCTTGCAGTCCTCATTACTGAATGAAGGTATCATGACTGTTCATGGTAACTTGGAAACGAAATATTATTTCGTAAAAACGAATTGTTATTTCGTAATTACGAATTAATATTTCGTAAAAAACGAAATAATATTTCGTAAAAAAAATATCATTTCGTAATTACGAATTCATATTTGAAATTCGTAAAACAAATTAATTATTTTTTAATAACGAATTTATATTTCGTAAAACGAATTTTTATTTCGTAAAAAATAAATTAATATTTCGTAATTACGAATTAATATTTCGTAAACACGAATTAAGTCCTGGGAAAAAATGTAGAAAATGTCACTTTAGGGGTCCGTTTATATCATTAAAAGAAGGACATTTAAATTTAAAGTTAAATTCGTCATCGATGACTCTTGTTTCACAGAAAAGACACACGTTCACATTTCTGGATAATCTATTAATTCAGTACCTGTTTGTTTGTACTCGTAATGAATGAATTAACACTCTTAGGTTACTTAATATGTCCTTTTAAATCAAAATTTAATTGACCAAGATACCTTTCATATTCATTTTTTTCTTTAAATCTAACATTGTGCTACCTGACTTGTTACTATACCAACCTGGCAAGAAACAATCTTATTTTCAAAAATACTTACAAAGGGTTTTTCTTTAACACAGGGTGGATTATTTAAAACGTAACTATTTTCATTTTCAGGCACTATTTTTTTTACCTTTGAGACCCAAATTAAGGATTAAAAATTATGTTATCTGTACTATTAAGTTTGAACCAACATTTATGTATTTTAATATATCTCGAAATATACAAATGATATCGATCCAATTCACCATAAACTGCTACGTTATGAGTAGACATTTAAACTTGAAACATATTCTTACATAATTTAAGGGGAATTCTTTCGATTGCTTTTGTTTTGTAAATCCCAATTTTTCACTTGAATAATTTAGCACAGATCCGAGTTTTCATTTATATTTTTGACATTTAACTTATAAAACATTCGATACTATCAAAATAGTCCCATTATCCTCGAACCTCTCGTTATTTGTAAACGAAATATCATAACTTTGTTATGCGTTTTGTACTCAATAATTTGTAATACTCAGACTAGTCTTAATTTCATTTTGAATCTTCAAAAGAATAACCATATCATCTGCAAATAAAAGTAGTATAAGAATAATATTATCATTATTTACACTTGAACTTATATCTTCTTCCAAAATTAAACAGAATAAATAATCGGATTCAATCAAATAATTATAAACGTTCACTTATCAAGACTGAAAATGTCTTGTGATACCGATGTTTTCATAAAATTACGTTATGACATTTCAAAACTATACTTTAAAATATATGTTTACATTTAGTGAATGGTGCCTTTATTACATTTTAAATTTCAATACAAATCTTAAAACATCTATAAAATAAGGCAAGGTACTTTTCATATTATTTTCTGGTTTTATTAATCGTCAATTGCATACTTTTTACTGTAAATGCAATAGAGGGCGTTATAGCGCAATACGATAAATTGCGGTTTTATAGTTTCAAAATGTCCTACGCGTAACAAGATTATTACGGCGAAGGTCTATGTTCTTGAGTGTTTTTGTTTGTCCCCGCATTTGTATCCCACAAAAGGGGATATAGAAATAGGCTCCGTCCGTCTGTCCGTCCGTCCTTCCGTCCGTCCGTCCTTCACACTTTCGTGTCCAATTAATAACTTTGTCATTTATCAAAGGAATTTGAAATAACTTGGCATACATGTTTGTTATAACAAAACAATGTGTCATGCTCAACAACCAGACCCCTACCTCCAAGATCAAGGTCGCGCTTGCTCATTTACGGTCAACATTGTCTATTTTAGGGTATATGTCGTGTCTGGTCAATAACTTTCTTTGTTTTGAAGGGATTATGTAAATACTTGCCACAATTGTTCACAATAATGAGAGGATGTGTCATGAGCAAAACCGGTGACCTACCTCCAAGGTTAAGGTCACACTTGGAGGTTAAAGATTAACATAGTCTGTTAAAGGGTATATTTTGTGTCCGGACATAACTTTTTCATAGATCAAAGGATTTTGAAAATACTTTGCACAAAATTTATTAGTCACTAAAATAATTCGATGTGTCATGCACAATACCTGCATCCCTACCTTCAAGGTCAAGGTCACACTTAAAGTTAAAATATTAACATAATCTTTGAAAAGGTATAATTTGTGTCTGATCTAGAACTTCTTCATAGTTCAAGGGATTTTGAAATAACTTGGCACAAATAGTCACAATAATAAAGTCAATATGTCAAGTACAACACCTGCACCCTACCTCCAAGGTCAAGGTCACACTCAGAGGTCAAATGTTAACAGAGTCTGTTATATGGTATATGTTGGGTCATATCTGTAACTTCTTCATAGATCAAAGGATTTTAAAAATATTTGGCACAAACATTCACAATAATAAGACGATATGTCAGACGCAAGCCATGGTTTCCTGTCTCCTGGGTCACACTTAAAGTTCAAGGATAAACATAGTCTGTTATAGGGAATATTTTGTGTCCGATCTATATCTTGTTCATAGAGCAAAGGATTTTTAAAATACTTGCACATGTCATGCACAACACCTGTGCCCTGTCTCCAAGGTCAAAGTCACACTTAAAGGTCAAAGCTTAACATGATAGAATTTTAAATTCCGTGTTTCTTTAATGAATTTATTGTTGCATTTGCAGATCTAGCATTGATCATAATTGTGGACTTAAAGTCCTGAGATCCATTCCTCAATCTTTTGAAATAGCAAAATTTATACTTCATATAAAACTTCCCTGAGGCGGGGGGCGTTGGTAACTCTGTTACAAATTCGTGTTTATTTTTTTCTCTCAACATTATTTGAGCTATGAATGTTTTCTGTTGTACGTTTTGTATCGATTTGCAATGAGCTGTCTGGCTGTCTCAAAACAGGCAATTGATCATGAATATTATATTTTCTTTTGCCAAAGTAATAGGTAAGGGCTAGGGTCAACACTTACTATCATAGTTATGTGCATGAAGTGATAATCATGAACGTACAATATCAATAAACATTGAAAGACTGATTTTCGCTTTATTATAAAGCATTTACATTATTTTAAACATATATTTTGCTCGAATTTCATATTCAAACTATTTATAATTGCTGCAAAGTCTCTTTGTCAATATATAGTATATAACTACACAGTATAGGTGGTTTCAAATTAAATATATAGTGTCATATAAACAACTGGCAATTTTTATACAAAAAAGAAAAGACCAATTATACCTGACCTGCAATAGTCAACGCATCCCAAGAACTTATTCATCTCTTTATTCAAATTGGTCATATTCGATAAGATATTCACAGATTTTAATAAATTTCTGAGATAAAGATATTTTACGCAAGTACTTTGTTCGGACTGTACTTTGTTCTTGAATTACACAAAATTTTGCCATTTTCAAAACGATGTTATATATTCATTTTATGGATATATCTGTCTTAAGACATGTATAGATTTTTACATAACACAGTGTGACAATTCTAGCTGTTGTATCATATTTATGATTAGAATATAAGCATTGGACATTGCAGGATGAAAGTAATATCAGGAGCAATTAAAGAAAAAACATCAACCTATAATCTGTAAAATATAAAAAATAGCATTGTCAACAAAACTATAATATATCGTTTAGTTTGTTTATTTCGGCCAAAGACGCAATAAAAATGTGATGGAAAGACTTGTTTCTTCTCGGCTAAAGGAGCCAACAATCGAAGTAAAAACTACTTGCAGCGAAACAAAACTAAACTATGATATCTGTACCGACTCGTGTACTCGTGTTAATTCTATAAATACAATTTGCATATCAAATTAGCTGTCAGCAGATCGACTGCTATATAAACTTAGATTTTTAAAAAACAGAAAACAGATGAAGTAAAAATATTAAACAAAATGATCAAAGAAATCAATTTTGAATTGATCAATGTTGCAAGGTCTAATTCACGCATATTTAATAACCGACTTTAAAATCATTATATTTACAAAGTACTACTTGTAATTAGGCAAAACAGAAATATGATATCTTCATCGATTAACGTGTTGGCTTGTATGTTTTATCTATTAATAGAGAAGAATGGTTGAGTAGCATTGGCGAAAAATATAGAACAATGGCTCAAATGACAGTAAAATTGATACTAAAAGCCAAACATAAAACAGAAGAAGCAATATGATTTAACTATAGGTGTAGAGCGCTTAGCCGGGTATATAAATTGTATCCCCTTCCCAAGACCCCTCTTCAAGCAATTAAAATATAAAGATGAATGAAATTATTCCAAAAATCAAAAGTTAAATAGAAATTTGCAATAGGTTTTATCATGTATGTACATATAGAGTAAGAGATCACTGAAATCTGTAACTTGTTGAAAGTTTATAAACGTCTCATTATTATAGATAAGATTTTTTTCTGCTCATCATGTAAATGATATTGAATGGGGTGTTGTTTTAACAATTTAACATAGGAATCACTGAATTGATAATCAAGACTAATTCTTCTTGCTGTAAATTCAATGCTATTTAAATTACATTAGAAGGCGATTCGCAATATAAAGAAGAACGACTGCACGTGACGGTTGACACTCATTTCTTGCTAGTTACATTTCATACCAATCCAACTTAAACCACAACATACACATAATCAAAGAGCAACATATTTTTGACTTCCATACAAAATAATATACATCTTAACTGTACTTATTGCCAAAAAGAAAAAAAGATATAGATTGTTTAGATCATTCACAAAATGTGTAACTTTTCGGGAACTATAAAAGTACATCATTAAAAGAAAGATACTCGGCCGAACTAAAACAATTTTTGCACCTAAATCGATTTGGTTTTGGGACGAAACGTTCTGTTTGCATTTTAAATAGTGGTTTTGTTAAATCTAACAAAATATATAACTCATTTAAGCAGCGAAAAATAATCCTAAACTATATCAAAGTGCTGTTTGTTTTATGAATCCTTAAACACGAGCAGTAACAGAGTGTTGTTTAATAATGAAACCATGTTTTAATATTGTGTGAGTAAGTAAACTAAATAGAGGATATTGAATGAGTGTAGGTTTAATACTTAATTTATTGAACAAATTGAGTAAAATCATATTGACACAAATGACGTCATGTCAAAGTGTTATTACACTAGTGTAATATCGTTTTCATTAAATGGCTTAATTACACCCATGCGCCGCAGTTTTTGTTATAAGTACAATGTATATATATGCAATATTTAATGACGTTTATTGAAACAGAAAACAGAGCGTCCCTGAACTGGGTGACACAAGTACGTTACAATATACGGACGAATCCTATACGGTTTACAGAATTGAAAAATAAAGGGGATATTTAAGATTTTTTAAAGTATAAATAAAGGATTTATTTCATCGAAAGGTATGAAAATAAATATTTCATGTGTGGCGGTAGCCATTATTAATATATGATATCATATCATAATTGTTCTCTTTATATTTTAACATTAAACTTTGATAGACTTTTCCTTAAATATTGTGTATTTAGCCGAAAGTAGTCCGGTAAAACATCAGTGAAAATATTGAATAAATGTATACGTTCCGATGAAATTAAAAAAACAACAATGTTTTACAATGAAAATACAAAATGTGACAATATGCATTTTCTTTCAACAATATTTCTCCATATTTTATTTATTATGAGTATTTTATATATTTGTATCGCTAAAGAAATCAACTGTAAGGCGATATATCTTTAATACACTAACCATAGTGCCAAGCAAACCAAACTGTACTATATGTAGATTGTTTAATAAGTTAATGATGATTATAATTCTATATTTAAGAAAGCTGGAGATGGCAGAGTCTTGTGAAAATGAGCTTTTCCGTAAAGCCATAATAAGGAATTATGTGGCAGTCAAGAAGTATTTGCATCCTGATCCTATTATTGATTGTGAAACAGACTTTGAATTACTCACCGTTGCAGACAGAAAGAATATCAAGGTACGATATAAAATATTTTAAATACCAGTACAGTTTAGTTTATTTTATTCAATTGTCAGTATTTTATGAATTTGTGACAATGGTGAATTTTTATTTTATATTGTAAATTGTTATATTTGAAGTATAAAAGCTGAGGCATTCGAGGAATAATCTTAGATCATGATTTGAACTTACATTTATGGTATTCTTGATAAAAAAATAATCATTTCCGCATAAGCTATTTCAAAAAAGTGATTTTAAAAAATATCTATTCTTACCATAGAATCACAAATTGAACGCATACCGAACGTATTGGAATTGTTATCAACATTAAATTTATATAAAAATAAAACAATTGTGAATCTTATTGATAAAATACAATGTTACAGGGTAAGGACCCAACTGATAAGAATGAAACGATATTGAAAAACGTAAGATCCAAAGGTGCTAAAGGTTACACAGATTTTAAAGAGCTTCTGAGAAAGACCTGGCAGACTGACTTATTAGAGCTGATTGTTTGTGCAGAGAATGGGCAGGACACAAAAGAGATAGAGAGTCGGCTTGAGAAAACCGCAGTGTTAAGTCCAGAGTATATCAAACACAGAGGTGGTAAGTCAATTGTTTTACGCTCACAGTGTTCAGAGGTGCACTTTTGTGACTGCAAGCCGTCGGTTGTTAGTTGCCTATCATAATATATGTCTTTAAACAACATCTCTACCTAAAATTATCGATAAATAACAACTTTTACAGAAATGATTTAAAGTAGGTTTCACCAATTTTTTGGCTTGTCGATAATTACCTCCTACTTAAACATGTTTTTCTTAGAGAGAAATATACATTACTTAGCTGGAAATGTCGGCCGCTAATGATTTCCTGGTAGTAAAATCAAAGTCATCACTGCCATCATGGCAATTATTATCTGTTTAATATTATTTTACTTCACAAACTACATAGATCTGTACGATTATTCGAATAGCTTGATTTCTGTTAATATAAATCTGGATTATCATAAAAAAAAAACAAAAATGGCAGATTTGAGACTTCAAGCAAGATCAAGTAAATTCGTTGATAGCCTTTCTGACCCATACTCTTAGCCAAAAAGTATTGCAGTAATTTAGTCACGAACATTCTATACCACGGGGTATAAACTGTTTCACGAAGGATGGAGTTATCATTAGAACTCCATCCCTCGTGTAACTGTACCCCCGTAGGGGCCTTCGCGACACATTACTCGTAAGAACGAAACCACGAAAAACAATTGTAAAAAGTTGATATAAGGACACCACGGTGGTAAATGCACGCTATAATTTCGTGTTTTCACCATCGTTCTGTCGACATTTCACCATCGTGGTTTCGTTGTTTCATGTAACCAAACAATTAACATTGAAGCCGGTGGCAAAGTGGGGTTCTGTATTGTTATTAATATGATTTCGTTTACTGTAGGTGCCACCTACGTATATAGAGTTGTTAAAACAGATGACAGCGATATTTTTTGTTGTCGTAAAAGTTTTTTAGTAAAAGAGCATGGGTCTTGTTTTTTGAAGAAAAAATTCGTTGTTTCTAGTCATTTACATGTACTGAATTTCCTGGGACAATCTTAATTTGGTAAATATAGTTGTTTTCTATATTTTGCATTGTTCACTACATGTATTTAGGCTAATTATTGCCTTTGCGGGGATTTCTATTACCCCACCCATTGCGTTTTGCATTACGAAAAATGTTAAGCATCTCAAAAGGTTTGATAGAGTAATTTCTGTTTATTTATCGATATTTCTAGTTGCTAGGCATTCTTTTATGCAGTTTTAAGTAATTTATTTTGGCTAGATACATTATGTAGGTGATTTCCATGTTAAGAGATTATTTCCAAGGGAAGCAAATCTTACAATTTTTGGAATATGCTTAACAGAGTTATCTTTCCTTGACAAATGTACATCACTGTATTTTAATGTGTTGGTTTATGACATGGAAATTTAGTGTATTTCTTTGTTTATTTTCAGTATATCGTTTCCTGTTGTTTCAAGTCATTTTCAAGAGATTGTTTCAAGATGTAATTGTTAGGGGAAACGCATTGACAAATTTGATTAAATATTATATAAACAGTTTAAGCGTATTCTAGTCAGTACATCAATATACAAATTAAGAGCAGAATGTTATCCGGAGAGGAAGATCCAGTTGAAGAAGAGGCTAATAGAGGACATTTGTCGTTACCCTCTATGTATCATGAACTATCAAACCGCCGAAAAGACATTCTGTTGGAATTACTAGCAGAAAGTGAAACATTACAGAAAGTTTTAGAAACCGCGAAATCGGCAGATGTAAATTTTGTGAAAGACAAACATTCCAAGTGGCTGAACTTGTACGAAAAGTTCCTAGAAATTAACACTAGTTACCAGGCATTATTGTCACCTGATGCAATTAAAATAGATCAGAGTCAACTGAAGCACGAAAGGGACAGATTTGAAAATATTAAACTGTCTATATGTTCTTGGTTCTCAAATAATAAACCAGATGACACGAGATCCCGAATTTCGCATTTTTCTGGAAGGAGCGGCAGAAGCAATATGTCGGCATTATCCTCTTCAAAATTGCGCGAATCGACAAGAAAGGCTGAAATATTAGAGCGTCAAGCTGCCTTAGAAGAAGAGGAAAAGTTAGAAGAAGAAAAACTTAAGTTAAAGTTCAAGGAAGAACGGTTGAAATTAAAAACTGAAATACGCGTTAGTGACGCAAAATCAAAGGTTATCGAAGATCTTGAAAAGAATATGCTTTATGACGATGAAGTTGAGCATGACATTAAAGTTACAAGGCAAAAGGAAAAATATGTACTTCCTGAAAGTCCAATCAAAATCGTGCATGAATCTGAAAATGGGCTTCTTAAAATGACGCAGGAACTGAACAAGCCTAAAGTAGAAATTATAAAGTTCACGGGAAATCCAATGGAGTATAAACGATTCGTCAGACAATTTGATGCGAAAGTGAATAAAAACACTGACTCGTATGATGAAAAAATAAACTACTTACTCCAGTTTACTACAGGTGAAGCCTATAAGATAGCCTTGGGATACTCACATCTAAACGCGAGAGTGGGATATAATGCTACCATGAAAGAATTTGAGGATCGCTATGGAGACCCTGACATTGTTGCCAATAGTTACGTTAAAAAGGCTTTAGAATGGCCTATTGTAAAGGACGATCCGAAGGCACTGGACTCGTACAGCATATTTTTAATGGAGTGTCAGTATGCAATTGAAAACGTGTAGATGCTGCACGTGTACTTTGAATATCCAGAAAACATTAAGTCAATTGTGAAAAAAATTACCGTATTCATTACAAGAGAGGTGGAGAAATACAGTTTACAACTTAAAAGAAAATAGTAAAGCAGTCAAAGTTTGAAAACTTAGTAAACTTTGTTCGCAGAGAGGCCAAAAAAGGCAAATGACCCTCTATACGGGAAGTCTGTAATGTCTCAACAAGGTACCGGTGGTGCTGCAGTTAACAAACATCGTCCGCTTCAGCGAAAGGCATTAGGAACAAAAACGCAAATAAATTCTAGTCCGACACCAAAGGGATCACTGGACAAGTTCGTGTACGGGAATGAATGATAAACCACTTAAGGAAAGATATGACTTTCCGAAGTCAAAGGGTTTGTAAAAAGTCTCCCCGTACATTTTATCAATGATGTTATATTTTCGATCCTTGAAGATCGTTCAGCACGACATTGTTGTTGTGCTTGTGGTATTTTTAGTTTCAACTTTTCGGCATTTTCTAGTTGGGTGGTTCCAATATTCCTACTTGAATAATGTTGAATCATCCTTAGGATATGTTGCCTGCTTTTTAAATTTGCCTTTTGACGTCTTATCTGTGATACGCAGACTTAATGACCTCTGATCCCCTTTCAAAATTCCATTTTATTTTGTTCCGCTCATTGTTCTCGTTTAGGGCACACGCATTTTTTTACTTGGGGACCATATGCTGCTTTTCATGGAATGGCACTAACGTGTCACATTGAAGGTTCCATGATAACCGCCATATGAACACATCTGCGGATGTTTCAAAATTCTAAATTTTACCAGTTCATTCTGCTAAAGCCGTTGCTAGGGGGCGTGGACGGTAACTTGCCTTTCCCAGTACCGTCCGACCACGGTAATTGAACAGGTCAATAAAACCGAGCCTGCAACATTTTAAATTTTTGCCTGTTGGGCTTTTCTTTTTAGGGATTCTGTATTTATCTATTTCATACACATCCGTTTATTGTACCGTGTGGCGGCTGTAAAAAGTCCCCCGTACATTTAATCAGATTGATTATATTTCGATCCATGAAATCGTTCAGACGAATATTGTTGTGCTTGTGGTATTTTTTAGTTTCAACTTTTCGGCCCATTTTTAGTTGGGTGGTTCCAAATATTTCCTACTTGAATAATGTTGAATACCCTTAAGATATTTGCTTGCTTTTTAAATTTGTCTTTTGACGTTTATGCTGGATACGCAGCGTTATGACCCTCTGATCCTTTCAAAATTCCATTTTATTTTGTCCGACCATTGTTTCTCGTTTAGGGCAAACTCATTTTTTTAACCTTGGGGACCATATGCCGCTTTTCATGAAATGGCACTAATGTGTCCCACATCTGAAGGTTCCATGATAACGGCCATATGAACACATCTGCAATGTTCAAAATTCTAAATTTTACCAGTTTATGTTAAATGTTGAATTTTTGCTCTTAAGCCGGTGCTAGGGGGCGTGACGGTAACTTGCACTTTCCAGTAACCGTCATGAACAGCTCATCAAACCGAGCTGCAACATTTTCAATTTGCCGTGTTGGGCTTTCCTTAGGGATTCATGTATTTATCTTAATTTGAGCTATGGTTTGATTACGAGAGGGACATCAAAAAATCGGTATGTCGGAAAAAAACTAAATATGCAGTCGTTGCAGTGGGACCCACCCATCTGAGTAACAACACGTTTTGATGCCCACGCTTAGTATCAAATGCCCAAGAACCAACAAGTCACAACAACAACCTCAGGGGCTACGGCTATGGGGGCTGGATATCAACAAGTGTTTGCCATTGGTGCCTGTCAAATCTAAAAACAGCATCATTGTTTGTAGAATCATATGCGTTTCTTGACACGGGTAGCAACTTCTACATTTTTGTGCAGAAAATTTGCTTGATAAATTAGATGTCACTGGCAAAAGGCTGAAAGTAACAATTCAAAACAATCACTGAAAAACAAACTCATAACTGTCTCGCTGTTACAGGTTAGAAACATTGTTCCTTAGACCGGTCGACGGTCATTGATTTACCGAAAGTGTAATTCACAAGCCAAGTGGTTACTTGTATCGTCCAAGAGATAGGATAACAAACAGCAGAACTCGAACATGGACTCATTTGAAGATATTAAGTTAGACCAGATCGATCCGAAGTTTTGAAAATCCTGATCGGTGTTGACGTACGCGAAGAGCGCTAGAACATGGGATGTCGTTCTTAGTGTTGACAATAGCCGTTTGCGATGTAAAACAATATTTGGCTGGGCATTTTATGGTCCTATAAATTTGCGGTGAAAACGATCAATGCAAGTTCAAATGATTCTCAGTGTCCCTGTTAACTTTGTTCAGACAAGTCTAGACCCAGCAACCTGACGAGATAACTTTAACTATAGATTTTAGTGAACGAATTCAATAGACGATGTCCAGGAGCAATTCGCAAAGAAGATAAACAGTCTTCTTGATATGTGGAGGGATTGCCAGTTAGAAAATGGACACTATGTTTAATAACTTGCCCGTTTCAAGTCTTAGAGACATACAAATTCCAAATAACATGGAAAGTTGCCATATCCTCGTCCTGCACTTTTGGAAACATCGGCTTTGAAAAGGGGGGAACAGGTAAACTTTTCGGTGGAATATCGTGAATTTGGACAAAGGTTCATTGAAAAGGGTTATGCTCAGCCAGTCCCTGAAAATGACTAGATCAAGCCAGGCCGGGAGTGGTATTTGCCACACACACCCGGTCCGTCATCCCAAAGAAAGATAACGTTAAGGGTTGTTTCGCGATTGTTCGGCGCGCTATCAAGGAACATCTCTAAATGACCGAGCTAGTGCAGGGTCCCAATTTGACTAATACACTCGTGGGTACTTTACTACGATTTCGTCAGGAAGAAGTTGCTATTATGGGTGACATTGAAAGCATGTTTTACCAGGTTCGCGTTAATCAGAGTGATGCAAGTTTCTTGAAATTTCTATGGTTCAAAGATGGGGACGTAAACAAGAAAGTTGTTGAGTACCAGATGGTTGTTCATTTATTTTGCGCTAAATCTTCCCCGAGTTGTGCCAATTATGCTTTGAGGGAAACTGCGGTCAATCACGGTAGTAACCATGACAATGAAGTGATTAAAACAATACTAAAAAATTTCTATGTTGACGATTGCCTCAAGTCAGTGCCAAATGTTGGAAGTTGCTAAATCTTTGGTAGATGATCTTCAACGTTTTACTACAGGGCGGCTTTCATAAATGACGTGATGTCAACCATTCCATGTAGCGATGTAGCTGTTTATCTGGATCTGAACTATGACACTTTGCCAATTGATCGTGCATTAGGTATTCAGTGGTGTGTAGAATCTGACAAGTTCTGTTTCAAAATTGACATTAAGAACAAACCATTAACGCGACGCGGCATGCTCTTGATGCTAAATTCCGTATATGATCCGCTTTGCTGTCTGGCTCCGTTAATGTTACATGCCAAAAACATACTCAAGATTCTCTAGGCGTCGAATCTAGGCTGGGGCAACCCAGTTCCTGATGAACTAGCTCTCTGGATTAATGACATGTACAAATTGTCCGAATTGTCCGTGACTAGATGCCTGAACCAGCAGGTTTTGATGAGGTAAAGTCGGCTACTTTGCAACACTTCCCGGCTAGTGAGATTGTCTACGGTATCGTCAGTTACATAAGATTACTCAATAAAGATAATCGTGTTCACCGTGCCTTTGTGATTGGAATGAAGCAAATAACAGTACCTAGATTGGAGCTTACGGCAGCAACAGTTGCGGTGCGAACTGAAAAGAGGTTAAAGTCAGAAATTGACATTTAATTAGACGAATCTGTGTTTTGCACAGATAGTATGACTTTACTACGGTATATTGAAAACAATTCTGCAAGGTTCCAGACCTTTATGGCTAACAGATTTTCAGTGATTCATGATGGTTCAAATCCTGAGCAATGGCGCTATATTCCAACCACGCATAATCCTTGCGAATATCGCAGTCCAGGGGCGTAAATGGTAGACGAGTTAACAAGAGCTGGATCGTAGCACCGGACTTCCTATGGAAATATGAAAGTGAATGGCCCGCAGATCGTGTGAACCAAACGATATCAAATGACGATGTAGAAGTAAAAAAGGTTAATTTTGTGAAATCTCGCGCTGACAACGTACTGTCATCAGCTGCACGTGAAGTGCTCGATAAATTGATGTCATATTTCTCGTCGTGGTATAAACTGAAAAGGGCTGTAGCATGGATCTTAATGATTCGCGAAAAACTTCTTCACAGAGCTAAGGCAAAAGGGGTTACTGTTACAGTTCCTACCATTAGTGAAAAGAAACCATATGTCACGGTTGACGATTTGAAGTACGCGGAAACGAGTATTTTACGTTACACCCAGAAATTTGCCTTTCCGGAAGAAATTGAAACACTGACAAACAATGAATCTACTTGTAGATTAAAACGAAATTTAGACATTGTTATTGAAGATGGGCTTTTACGCGTTGGAGGCCGTTTACAAGACTCCGGATGCCTGAAGAACGTAAACATCCAGTCATTGTACCTAGAAATTATGAGTTGTCTTAACTTATTATAAGAGAAATTCATGAACATTTGAATCATGTTGGCCGGAATCATACATTATCAGTCCTTCGTGAAAAGTAGAGGCTTATAAATTGGCCATCCGCGGTAAGGAAGGTGATTTCAAAATGTGTAGTTTGTCGGCGTCAAAATGAAAGTGTTGGAGAACGAAAGATGTCAAATTTGCCTAGAGACAGGGTTACTCCTGATGAATTACAATTTACTTGGGTTGGTGTTGACTATTTTGGACCATTCGAAGTCAAACAAGGCCGAAGTTTAGTGAAAAGGTACGGCGTATTATTTACATGTTTGACCAGTCGAGCTATTCATCTTCAAGTTGCTGCTTTACTCGATACTGACTCCTATATAAATGCATTAATACGTTTTATCGCGCGTCATGGTCAATTTACTACTATCAGGTCTGACGAT